AAAAAAAAAAAAAAAGATGCTCACTAGCATTAGTCATTGGCGAAATACAAATCAAAACTAAAATAGTACTCTATTTTACCTCACTAGGATATCTATATTAAGAAGGATGAACATTGCTGGTGGGAAGATAGAAATGCAACCATTTTGGAAAAGTTTGGCATTCTTAAAAAAGCTAAACAGAGAGTTACTGTATAACTCAGCCATTCCGTATCTCAGTATGTGCCCCAAATAATTGCAAATATATCCACTCAAAAACTTGTGTGTACTGTATTCATAGCAGCATTATTCATTGTACCCAAAAAAGTAGAAATAACCCAAATTTCTATCAGCTGATGAGTGGATAAGCAATTTATATCTATATAATGGAATATTATTTAGTGATGAAAGGACTAATGTATTGATACATGTTTGGTTTTTTTTTTTTTTTTGGTACCAGGAATCACACTCAGGACCTTGTGCTGGCCAGGCAGGCGCTTGTGCTGCTGAGCTGTATCCCAGCCCTGGTCTTTCTGAGACAGGGTCTCACTATGCAGTTCAGGCTGGCCTTGAGCTCACTTTGTAGCCCAGGCTGGCCTCAAACTCATAGATCCTCATGCCTCAGCCTCCCAAGTGCTGGGATTACCGGTATGTGCCACCATGCCCAAATAAAAAGAAGTCATTCTGTAGAAAAGTGAATGTAAGAAAGGGCCCAGTAGGTAGAACAGTAAAGACCTCCGGCAGAGCAGAGCTGCTTTCAGCCAGACACGGTGGCATTTTCCTGTCACTCAGGCAGAGGGTGGGTGACAACAGGTGCAGTTTCTTTGCTTTTCCCTCCTTGACCAGGGTACTGCGTCTGGTGGCATAAACATTTTCCATTGCCAGCCTGTGATTTAAGAGCTGCATTCTCCTCCTGCAGGCCTGGAAAGGCCTAGAATGCAAACCATCTGCTGCATTTCATAGTAACCAGGTGACTACTTAGTTAGCAGCCAGTGTGGACAGGGCCCTGGGCAGGGGCGAAAGGCTGTGTGCCAGTGCCCGCACCAATCGTCCACACGTCCTGTAGTGCTGCCCCGCCCTCGGTCTCCTCTCCAGGAACTCAGGTAGCAGCTACAGCCAGGTCTGATTTGTTTCGTTTTATTGCATGTTGGATTCCAGTAAGTGGCTGAGTTTAAAGACTCACCACAAATCTGTTTTTAGCTCAGCTGCTTGGGGAGATGGAGAATGTGAGTTGATGTACTTCTGGTTTTGATCAGGGTTGAGAAGCATGTTGAACTCCAGTACAGCCTGATAGTAGTAATGGAGATTGCAGGGCCCGCAGACTGCCTTCATTCCCTGAACTCCTTTAGTGTTTTCTTAGGTTGAGTTTCTTTGACTTACAATTTACACACAACAAAATCCACAGACTAAATGCAGAGGATGATGTTTTTGACACCACCCACTCCGCCACTTGGCTCACGGTGAAAAGTATCATCACCCCGTTCTCAAAGGGTCAAGGCGTCCCACCCACTGATCTTTCCAGTTCTAGATCACGTGTGATACATCCGGCCCTCTGTGGCCTCCCAGAGCCCTCAGCCCCGCTCCTGGAGACCTTTGGTTCTCTCTGGACCTGGCCGCCGAGCAGGGTGTGGATCTGCCCCAGCCATGTGGGACCGGAGAGGTGCTGAATATTCCTGGGCTGAGGCCGTCTCATTGTGGCCTTGGACACGAACTTGAGTGGGAACTTGAGGCAGCTGGCATGGAGCCAGGGCGGGGCCATCGCTCTCACTTGCAGGTGGCCACTCGCGGCATTTACCTCCAAGCTGCAGGTGGCCCCGCAGCTGGCATCAAGGTTCCTAAGAGGCACCCATGGGCCTCAGCACCTCCTGTGGTGTCTCTGCCTGGCCTTGGCACCCTCGCTGCTTCTCCAACCTGCCGGTGCACACAGGGCTCCTTGCCCGGCCCGGCCCGGCCCGGCCCATTGGGATTTTGCAGCTGCAGCTTCCTGCACTGTACAAGTGGGGCGGGTGCTATGACAGCCATGTCTGCATTGCTGGTTGTGTGTTTTGAAGATGTCGACACAGTTGCCTGCCATTAAAGTGATGTATGGAAAAGGTACTGATTTTTGCTGTGGCCTAAGAGTAAAAACCCACGAAAGGTTGGCGAGGCCATGTTCGTTGGGCTGGGGTGGCGTCAGGACCACAAAGTGCCAATTGTGTTCCCAGCCCCAGGAGAGTCTGAGCTGGAGCAGGTGAGGGCGGTGAGGGGTCCTGGCCTCTGGTTTCAAAGGCGCCGGCCTTTCAGCGGCGCAAGTCATGGCTAATGTAAGGAAGGGGCTTCATCAGCCACGTTCCGGGGGGTTCGGAGGGACTGGCGAGGGCCGGCTCCAGCAGGAAACCCCGGAGTTGACTATAAAGAAACGACTGAGCCACGGAAGGACAGCATCAAAGCGCACACAGGATGTGGCGCAGCCCTGGCTGGCACGGCGCCCGAGCCGCACAGGGACGGTGACCTCTGAGCTGTTTCTGCTCACAGGCCAGCCCCAAGTTCAAAGTTCACGGCATTTTGTTTTTTCACCTGTTTCCTACAGTTCTAAGAAACTTCTGAAGAGTTAATGTGTAACTATATCAGACACTCAGCCCTTCTCCAGGGAAAACAGTGTTCCGGTGGGGGAGGGAGGGGCAGGCGCAAAAGGTCTCTGAAAGATGGACAGCCCTCCTGGGTCAGCGTCTGCCATGCACGCTCCCCCTTGGCCACCTCTGCACTTGCTCCAGGCAGCACCAGCGCGAGGACAAGGGCAGCAGGCGCCCCTGGTCAGTTGTGACTGAGTGGCCTGAGGGTGATCACCGTGCCCCTTGTGAGCGTGGGGAGGGGTGGCAGGAGAGCCCTGCCGGTGCCAACTCTGACACAGTTGCTGAAGGATGAAAGCTGAGAAGTTCTCTGCCAGGCAGTTCTGTGGGCCAGGGGTTCTGGTTCTGGAAATTTCTCCTCCAGCCAGAAGTGAGTGGCAGAGCTGGCTCTCCCAGGGGCCTGGGCTCCGTGCCTCCCCGCTTGGGTCACTTACTTTTTCTTAGCACCAGTCCTAATCTAGCACCTGGTCATTTGTTAGTAGCTGATTTCTCACACAGAGAAGCTTGAAATGGTGACATGCAGATTTTACTGACATTTCCTTTTGTCATTAAATTTTAATACAAATAAGATTAAACAATTCTAAGGGTTAATAACCCCTTTTAAAAGGTTGTTTTTGTGTTGCACAGCGATCCTTTTGCAAACTGACCTAGCATCAAGCATTACCCCTTCTCTGTTTGGCTCACCTGCTGTGCGTGTAGGTATGGGTTTAAGTGGGGACTGAGCACAAGAAATAGTTGTAAACTGTAATAAATTCTTAAATTCTGCCTTTTACACTCTTGCCACCAGGTGGCTAGGAAAAATTAAGCAGGACAAATGCAACGATTATGCAAAAGACTTGTAATCACTTTCAGTTTCTGCTTCAGCGATGAAATATGAAACTAGAGCTGGACCACGGTCCAGGAAGAAACCGCTGAGTAAGCAACAGGCGTCTCAAGCCTTGCTGGGCCCAAGGGACATCTGCATCCGTGTTTTGGTTTTCTAAAGACAATGTTGAACGAGTGAGACTTTGCTGACACAAAACTTTTGGAGACTATCTCGGCCCACTGCCCCTCCAGGTGGACCCCCAGATGTCCACATTGCTCCTGGCCTGCCGGGTGGGGGACAGAGGCTCCGCTTTTGGGTACTTAGCAGAGGGCGCCTCGGTCCTGCCCCGTGGCTGACCTCTCACTCGCGCTCCCTGTGTTCTCAGGGTTTGTGGGCACACTGCTGATGCTCACTTGGAACGGGCTCTAGAGGCAGAGAGCAGACTTCTCCAAACTGAACGTTAGTATCTCACGACTCTTTGATCCGTGGATGAGGGGTGAGGACGTTCACTTTTAGTCTTATTTTCACCTGACACATCCTCAGAGTAAGGACAGCAGCACAAGGCCCAGACTGCGCCCTGGACCTGAAACCCCACCTGTTTCCTAGTGCCATGTCACATGGCGCTCAGCCTCTCGTGTACATGCTAGGTCACCTCTGGTCCTGTCCCTTATTCGCGCTGACAAGTAACCTCTTGCTTGTACACCATTTTATTCAAACTGGCTTTTCTGATTCAAAGTGAACATGAGTGCCTTAATCCTCTAATGGGAATTAATTGCTTGTTTCAGTGCTTAACTCTGATCCTTTCTCAATCCCCACAGGGACAAGCTGCTTCCTGAAGGATTGGAGTTTGTTGTTCAAGACGCAATCAGAAAAGGTAATGATGTTTTTCTTATGAAAGAAGCCAAAATGCAGAATGTAAAATTTTCATTGCGTAAGTAGTGTCCTCAAAGTAATTCTACATCATAAAAGATACATTTGCTGAACTAGTACCTACAAAGAAAAAAAGGTTAACTTCTTTTGCCTGGTTTTCTTTTATGGAAGTCAGCTGTCACCTGCAGAGGAAAGTTAACAACTCACTTTCCACGCAGTTGGAATTAACATCCCGTGCTCTAAATCAATGGTCATTTCTATGTAGCATCACCTTTGTAAGCATTCTTATTGGTTCTGAGAAATAATTAAGACCACTACCACTATTTGATATGGCTTGATTTTCTTCTAATGTATTCATTTTTATTGTAGGGGCTTAATCAAGAAAAATATAACTACCAGATATTTTTGTAAAGGACGGCATTGGGATAGAGACCTGGAGAGGGGCAGGGTAAGGAAGGGTTAAGGGCACAAGGGCATCAGCATTCATCAGGTGCTCGTGCCTGGCACAAAGCTGCCCCATCAATAGAGATTAGCCCATGCAGAAATAGAACAGACCCCTTTTTATAAAAGGTGCAGCAGAAACTCTGAGAGTGGTGGAGTAGGCCCTGTCATCACACCACAATGGACTTTTTTATACTTATTGTGCATTATGTCCTTAATGTCCACCCGCAGAACACTGAGGCTGCCCTGCCTCCTGTTCTACATGGGTCCTGGGCCCATACTATGTCCAGGCCTGTGTTCAGGCCTACCTGGAACATCTACTCTGTCCAAGGAGAGACAGACGGCAGTCTTCATTTTGCTGTGGAAAAGCACAAATGCTCACCTACAGCCCTTTGCTACTGTGCCAAGCTCTAGCATTTTATCCAAGACTCCGCTAAGGAAAGAACTAGTAAGGTGGGAAGGGACAGGGAAGACACGGTAGCACCCACTGCTGCAGTGGCAGTGCCCTCCTCCCTGGCATGGCCCACAGGCTGGGTGTGCCATGGCAGAACCCTGAGTCTGTCCTAGGCAGAATGAATCAGAGGCACAGGTTAGGTTGCCCTGGCTGGTGTAATGGGCTTTTCATGTGTTCTACTTGCTGTGACCTTCACAGCAGCCCTTGGAAATGGGCTGAACATGACATATAAGGAATGAGAGTCTAGAGAGACAGAGAACTCAGAACAGAACAAAGAAAACCCAAAGCCATTAGAAGAAAAGGAATAGGAAAGATTAGAACAAAGATAAATAAAATAAAGGACAGAAAGACAATAGAGAAACGTGATTGTGTTAGCTTTCTTTCATTGTGACAAAATTCCTGAGAACAACAACTTAAATGGGAAGGGTTTATTCTGGCTTACATTTCAAAGGTTACAGTTCATGGTCAGCTGACTCCATGGCTCCTGGCCTTGGAGAGGGGGAGCATCATGGCAGACAGAAAACAAAACAGAGCAGTGGCTGAGAGCAAGGTGTGCCGGTCAAGGGCATGCCCCAGGCTCTTACTCCTCCAGCAAGGCCCGCCACCTACCCGTAATACCGTCTGCTGGCAACCAAGCTGTGTTGGGGGACATCAGTGGCACCAAAAATGTGCTGCTTGGAAAGAGTGACAAATTGATGAATCTTCACTGGGGGTGGGGAATGCAGCAGGGTGCGGGAGGGTAAATAAAATCTGAAGTGAAAGGACCACCTGATAGAAATGAAACCATTTCTCTCAGAACCCATTTCTCTTAGAGCCCATCTGATAGAAATGAAAAGGGCTCTGAGGGAACACTATGAAAGATCGTCTGCAACAAGATGGTAGCCCATACGGAACATGACAGTCTTTCAAATACGCACCCTACCCAGACCGAATCCTAACTAAATAGAAAATCTTACAGAGCTACGACTACCCAGGAGAGCAAAATAAAACAAACCCATTCTCCCTCAAAAAAGAAAAGTCCAGGACCAGACAGTTTCTGTAGTAAACCAAACAGTTGAAGAGTTAACACATCTTCCTGAGAATATTCCAAAAAAATCAAAGAGGAATGAATACTCTCAAACTTATTCCACGAAGCCAGCATTACTCTGATACCAAAGCCAGAGGAAGACACTGAAGGAAACTATGGACTAACGTCCCTAGATGAAGACTGATACAAAAATCCTAGACAATACCAGCAAGCAGAATTCCATAGTGTATTAAAGCATTACATCATGATCAAATGGGATTCATCCCTGGTATGCAAAGATGGGACATAGAAAACAATCACTGTAATACATTGGATAACAGAGTAAAAAACAGCCATCTCTATTTCATGGTAAGAACACTCAGAATAGGAACAGAAAGAAATTGCTTCAACACAGTGAGGGCCACATATAGAAAGCTTACAGTAGACTTGGCCGTGGTTATTTTGTGAGGAGCCCCTAGCTTCCTGCAGTTGCGGCACTGTTTGCCATTCCCGCCATCCACGTACAGGGTTCCCGTGCTGCACACCCTCACCACCACAGGTCACGTGGCTTTGTTGTTTTTGGAAGTGGTCCTCATCCTCCTGCACGTGAGCTGGGATTGCACTTCTCTAGAAAAATTTATTTTCAAGTCCTTGCCCAATATTAGAATTGAACTTTTGTTATGTTTTCAGAATTTATATAGTCTCCATAATAGTCACTGTCAGATATAGTACGACTTGCACTTACTCTGTCTGGTTCCATAGGTTGTGTTTTTCAGTTGATTGTATTACTTAATATGCAGACATTTTAAAATTTGTTGTAGTCCTAATTAATTTTAGTTTTGTTGTTTGTGATTTTGGTGTCACATCCAGCAGTTACCTAAGGTCCTCAAGGTGGCCTCCATGATTGAATCCTGCTGGCTTTATAAGAGGAAAAGAGACCAGGACAGGTGCGCACACACACTCTCTCTGCAGCGCGGTGCACTTGGAACTGCCAGCCAGTCCATCCAGGTGCGAGCCTTGAACCTCTAAGACTGTGAGCTAAATAAACCTCTTTCCATAAACTGAGCATGACAGTAACACAAAACGGACTAAATCCTACCACTCAGAAATCCTACCGAGACAGAAAAAGAGCGGCAACAGAAGCATGAGACTAGAAAACACAGGCAGCCTGGCGACCCCAGAGCCTGAAGTCAGTTCCTGTGCCTTGAGAAGCCGCTGGGACGCCAGCCGACTGTGCTGCGGGTGGCTGAGGGGCATGGGATTGAGGGAAACGCCCCCTGCGACACAGGCTGTTACCTGCTGGCCGGCACTTGGACCCGCCCTCTCACGCCACTGACTATCGGAGATCCAGAAGGAAGTGAGGAAGGAGAGGGAAGACGTTCCTCCATGACCCAAGATGAGTGTTTGGGCTGAAATTCCCAGCACCAAAAGCCCCATCATAACCTTTTGGAATCTCTGGGATGAGGACAAGCCCTCAGGCCTTCCGAGGGAGAAGTGCAAGTCACACACAAAGTGCAGTTTCCGTGACAGCACTGGACTTCTCAGCAAGAACCTAGGAGACTGGACAGCGGTGAGGGACGCTTTCTAGAACCCTCCACCTCCCCACATTACTAATCCGGGTGGGAGATACCAGGGTGGGAAACAGGCTTCGGCGAAACGAAGGGCTTACCCACAGAAAGGACAAGCCCCAGCATGGGGAGCCCAAGGGCTGTCCGGGCCCAGCCAGAAAGAGCGGGACCAGAGGGACCGGCACAGGAAAGGTGAGGCGGGACAACAGCCTGGCACCCTGAGCGGACAGCACAGCAAAACAAGCCCAAAGCAGTTTTAACTCCAAGAAAAAGAAGAAAGTGCCCCAGGAAGGAAATTCAATCACAGTACACTCTGTCTTCACTGAGAGCAGTGTTTACATAGTTCTAACGCTGGAATGAATATGGATTCGACCCAAACTGGGGGAGTCTCCTGGGAGGTGGTGGGGCAGGCGGAGCACAGGCGCTGGCTGTGTGGGGACAGCAGGCCATGGGCAGGCACGGCCCGGCCGCGCTCGAGGCAGGCTGCTGCCATCTCTTCATTCAGTTTTCAGTTGGTGGAGTCATGGCACAGAGAGGACCAATGATTTGCCTAAAGCACCCAGGATAAAGCCTTAGAGCCAGGATTCAACGGGCAGTGCAGTTCTAAAGTCTGCTTTCAACCACTGTTCCTGCCCGTCTTCGGGTCAGGACAGCAAGACAGAATTTAAAACATCAATTAGCAGTGGAAGTAACAGCACGGAGAGAAATGCCTGTGTTGCCGGTGAGCAGCTTCAGCGTTGCCTCTAAGGAATGAGAAGAGGCAGGAAATTTTGTTTTTCTCCTACAGCTATTTACAGATTTCCTGGGATGCATCTTGGCTTTTGTCTTTTGCAGAGCTGGGCATGGAAGCAGGGCCGCACGTGTCAGCAGCCACATCCCAGCCCTGGTCCTGCTTAATTCTGCTGTCCTGCAGCTCCATCTCTGAAGTCTGTCCCCAAGAAGCCTGCCACAGCTGTCATTAAACAGTGCTGGGCAGAGCAGAGACACACAGGGCTTTGCAGGGGGTCCCTTCCCCATTTTGTCTCAGTCACTTTTGCTGTTACATAACAGTCCGTGGCCCAGACCCAGGCGAGGTAGATGTTTACCTTCGTGAGGCGCCAGGGCTGCTCCGTGAGTCACAGTGAGTCATCGTGAAGCATCATTACCCTCTAAGACCTTCAGGGAGGAAATGCGACAGGTGCCACCGTTAGAATATTGCCAGCTCGGACTGCCAGGGCCGGAACGTGAATGCACCCTGAAACCTGTGTTCTCTCTGGCAGCCGGATTGCAGGCGGTTATTTTCCATGGATGTTTGCTCATTGCCATCCTGCACTTTTCTATGGTGTTTACTGTACACATTTTAAAATCCTTTTAAAAAGATTGAAAACTACTTGAGAAGCTGTAGTTATGTGGGCCAGCCCAGGCCAGGCTGTCCCTGTGTGACAAGTGAGTGTATCCTTGAAATGAGTGCCCTTTCCGGACACTTCTGTAAAGGGTGCTGGGTCTCCTGCTCCCTCGGCGCCCACCACACAGTGGTCAGGAGGTGATCACAGCAGCAGCTGCTCACCAGATGGGGCTGCCGGGAGATCGCTGCTTTTGAAGCTGCTCCACTCGGATGGTCAGGCCGGGGAGCTACAGGGTGTGAAGAGGTTTGAGGTGGTGGCCAGCTTGCACCTTCACTCCTGAGAGACCTATGTGGAGCCGCCTGCATGCAGTGGGCAGCTGGGCCAGAGGGTGTCAGCACGGGCTTGTGAGGCCCAGGTTGGCGGCCATCGGTGAGCACTTCTGGGAGGGCGCTGTCTGTCCAGGTGGTACAGGACGGCCAACACGCCTGTCTTCTGCCACACCAGACAGGCGTCCTGGGGCTCCTGAGTATTGTTGTGGTGTCACTAGGCCCCAAAGTGGAAAACAGGGCCACCGCCAAGTCCTCTCAGATATGTGGAAGGTTTCTACAGTCACAAACATTTGTCCTTCTTTAGACCAAGGATTGGCAACTACAGATTAGTCTGATCTGGTGTCTCTTTTCTGACAGCCCACAAGCTAACAGTGGCTTCTTTCTTTTCCGTTCCGTTCTCCTCCTTCCTCTTTTCTCCTTCCTTCCTTCCTTTCCTTTCCCTTCCTTCCCTTCCCTTCCCTCCCTCCCTTCCTTTCCTTTTTCTTTCCTTCCTTTCTTTCGTTCCTTCGTTCCTTCTTTCCTTCCCCCCCTCCTTCCTTCCTTTCCTTTCCCTTCCTTCCCTTCCCTCCCTCCCTTCCTTTCCTTTTTCTTTCCTTCCTTTCTTTTGTTCCTTCCTTTCCTTCCCTCTTTCCTTCCTTCCTTTCCTTTCCCTTCCTTCCCTTCCCTCCCTCCCTTTCCTTTCTTTCCTTCCTTTCTTTCGTTCCTTCCTTCCTTCTTTCCTTCCCTCCTTCCTTCCTTTCCTTTCCCTTCCTTCCCTTCCCTTCCCTCCCCTTCCCTCCCTCCCTTCCTTTCCTTTTTCTTTCCTTCCTTTCTTTCGTTCCTTCCTTCCTTCCTTTCCTTCCCTCCTTCCTTCCTTCCTTTTCTTTTTTTCATACTGGGGCTCGAACCTAGGTCCTGTGCACTGAGCTACAGCTCAAGCCCTTTTAAAATTTTTTTATTTTGAGGACAGAGTCCTGATAAATTACTGACTAGCCCAGGCTGGGCTGGAACTCGAGATCCTCCTGCCTCAACCTTCCAGAGTGCTGGGATTACAGGTGTGCACCACCATGCCTGGCTGACTTACACATTTTTAAATAACTGAAAAAAAATCAAAATATTTCATGACATGTGAATTGTATGAACTTCTAGTTTGTGTCCGTAAAGCAAGCTTGACTGGGACACTCCGACACTCGCTCACTTATCTACAGCCAGCAGAAGGGAGTGGGAGGGGAGGATCAGCCCATGGAGCCTAGCAGATGTCCCCTCGGCAGTCCAGGCAGCTCCGCCCGACTAGTGACACACTCCTGTCTCTCCCAGTAGCTCTCCGAGAATGGCTCTTGTCTTCGTGTATGGCACCCTGAAGCGAGGCCAGCCCAACCACAAGGTCCTGCTGGACGGTGCACATGGCTCCGCAGCCTTCCGCGGCCGGGGCCACACAGCTGAGCCCTTCCCGCTGGTGATCGCCGGTGAGCACAACATCCCCTGGCTGCTCCACCTCCCCGGCCGGGGCCGCTGCGTGGCGGGCGAGATCTACGCGGTGGATGAGCAGATGCTGCGCTTCCTCGACGACTTTGAAGGCTGTCCTGACATGTACCAGCGCACTGCTGTGCAGGTGGCGGTGCTCGAGTGGGAGGGCGAGGGTGGCCCCGGGGACAGCGTGCAGTGCTTCGTGTACAGCACGGCCACCTACGCACCCGAGTGGGCCCGCCTCCCCTACCATGACAGCTACGACTCGGAGGGGCCGCATGGGCTGCGCTACAACCCCCGGGAAAGCAGGTAGGAAGGGCTGGTGGCACAGCAAGGCCAGAGGGGACCTGCAGTTGCCTTGTCACCTTGGCTCGGTGTGGATTCCAGCACAAAAGCGGACCAGCACTTCAGTTGTAAAACTCCAGAAAGCTAAACTCTTTCAGTGGCACTGAACTGACACTGTAATAAGGTCGGGCCCTCAGGTCGCTCTCTCGGACCCTGTAGTGAGGCTTGCTGCTTAGAGGGCATCTGTGGGCTTGGGCATATTAGTTTAAAAAAACTTCAAATGCTAATTCCCCTAAATGGCATTTAAAGGACTCACATGGTACACTTCTCTCTTCTTTTTGCTTTGGTTTACTTGGAAGATCGCATACTCAGTGACTAAAGACTGTGCCGCACTTGGTTTGCAGATGACTATACTGATTCTGTCCTGCAGCACCTAGAGAAAGAAGTTTTAATAAAAGCTGATTTTTGAATGGCTCGATATAATTAAGCCTCAAGAAAAACATGCTGTACTTAGAGTATATGTAGCACATTCTTCGTACTTTTCAGACACACAGAAACTGTTCACAATGTCCATTTGAAATTAAACTAGAGGTTCTGAGAGCGGCCCCCATGTGTGCTGCTACATGGAGTCCTCTTTTTGGTACTTTCCTGATGGAAGGCTCTTTTCATTCTAACCAAGCAAGTCATGAACACCCACTTGCTGGGAGACACAGCTGAGCACCCGGGCTTCCCCGGGACGCTGCTCCAAGCCCAGATCCCAGCACCAGGCCGTCACTGCTTCAATGGTGTGGCGCTGGCGGGTGGGCCTTTCAGAGAAGAACCAGCACCTTAGTAATTTGTTCTTCAGGACTGGCAGAAGGCTTAGCTTCCAAATACAAACAGCACTTAAAATAATGTTAGCAAGGCACGAAGTACCAATTACTACCCACCTCCATCTGACAGTCTGTCAGCAGAGATTCAAGGCGGCGCCCGACTCTGCTTCTGCTCATCAGCAAGGATGAAACAGATTCCAGGAATTTCAGGACCAAATGAAGATGCAGCTGCTGGTCCTTAGTAACCTCGTTCTCCATTGGGAGAGCTCTCTCTCTTCAACTTAATGGTAGACTGTGATCGCTAACTACATCTGGCACAAAACATGATCATTATTTTTAGCCTCTTTTTCTTAATTGGAAACTTGCTTTGCAAAACACAAAAAGGATGGGCATCAGCTCACAAGCTGGTGGCACCTCTGCTCACTATGGCTGCGGGTGAGGCAGCCAGTGGGGAAGGGACCGGGCAATGTCCTGTCCTCCAGCTCAGGCAGCAGGCCCCACAGTGACCCCCTGAACAGTGGGCGTCCATCGTGACACCTGTGTGAAGCCACAGCTGGGAGGGGCTTCCAGTCTCTAAGAAGCCACAGATAGCCAGCCCAAGTTAGTCCTCAATTACCAAAGAAAGGAAGGTAATGCCATTGTAAAATGGCAAATGCTGATTTCATAGCATCAGAGGCACAGAACTGAATTTATATTAGCTTTTTTTTTTTAAAGGATCACAGTGAAGTACTGTTATAGTCGACTACAACAGCCTGTCGCTAATGTGTATTATCTTCAAGAAAAGGGTAAACTAATATTTAGACAAATGCTTGGCTTTATTGATTTAATTTTGACACTAGAAAATCTCACAGCAGAAGTACAAATCATATGTACAAGTATTTGTATCAGTAAAAATTTCTGTTGGTGATTTTTTGGCAGGGTGCTGGGTCTGACTTATGCGGAGTAAATATGAGGGTGCAGGCCGCTCCTGGGAGCGTGCACTCTGTCCGGCTGGAGGTGGGGGGATGCAAGTGGCCATTAAACCAGTGCCCATCGGGAGGCTGTGAACACTTCACTCCAGTTCCACCAGCAGATCGCCTTCTCCAACCGTGTCTCCAGCTTTGCAGTGCACCGATTTCACCTTGAATTTAGAAAATGGGAGAGTGAGTCATTCACGGGAACCAGCGGGGCAGTCGCCAAGGTCTGCTCTTGGGTGGGGTGGATCCAAGCCTGCAGCTCAGGTCTCAACCGCCCCACTGCAGGGGTCAGTGCTGTCCCTGCGGGAGGCTGTGACCCTCTTCCTCCCTGTACTCAACAGCCTGGGAAGATCATCTCCGAATTTCGGCCGTAGTTTGCCAGCTGGCCCCCTCTAGTGAGCACTTGGGTCCAGGCCACATTTATTTTCTGCAGTACTGGGAACGGAACCCAGGGCCTCGTGGATACTAGGTCAATGCTCGCCCATTAGGCTGCATCCTCAGACCTCTTAATATTTTATTCTGAAGCAGGGTCTCACTAAGTTGCCCAGACCAGGCTTGAACTTCCAGTCCTTCTGTCTCAGCCTCCTGAGCAGCTGGAATACAGATGCATACTGCCACATCTGGCTGAGGTCCCAGCTTAAAATCTGATGCATTGTGCTGCTGACTCACCAGCCAGCTCCTCACCCTTCCTATGGCTTTAGGTTGTAAAAATGTTGGTAGAGTTAGTGACACAGTTTCATGTGAAAACAAAAATAACTTTTAAAACTATATAACAGACCAAATAAGTACTAATTAAAAAGCCTCCCCTGCCGGGTCACAGCCCTCCTTTTGAAGGGAAATGAAACATCAAGGAGCTCCAATGCCCTCCACTGCCCTCGGTGGCGTGGCGGGGTGTTGGAACTGCACCTTCTCATTCTATTGACTGTTCCCACATGCAGTCACATTGGGCTTGTCCGGATTCATATTCAGGTTTAGAGTGAGCAGGCAGGGAGCTGCAGTGCGTAAGGGACGCGCACCTCCTTCCTGGAGGGAGCCTGGGGTGAACATGAACAGTCCAAACTAGCCGCATGGGTGACAGCCCAACAGCAGCGGTGCCAGGGTGCCTAGGGTGCTGCCCTGCCTGCGTCCTGCCCCTCCACAGTGGGCAGACCACACAGACACTTTTCTCTTAAATCTGAGCCCACAGTCTTCAAGAACAGTGCGAACCTGTGCAATGAACACTTCGAAGGGCTCACCTGGAGGCTGTCATTTGCACTGAAGGGGATGGTGGGTGGTTTTTTGGTAGTGGAACTCGACCTCAGGACTTTCCGTTTGCCAGGCAGGCAGCTTGCGCTTCTGAGCTACATCCCCGGCCCTGGTTTGTTTTTTGGCAGTGCTGTGTGGCTGGGGGGCACCCTCATCCCTCCATCCCTTTTTGTTTTTTTTCAATTTTTTGTTTTTGAGATGGTCTCTCCAAGGCTCATGCTGGCCCTCCACTTGCTATCTTCCTGCTGTAGCCTCCTGAGTAGCTGGGATCACAGGCATGCCGCATCTTGCCTGGCTAGGTGGCTGCTTTTTTATAACCTTGATGCCTTCCAACAGTTATATAACTACTGTAGGTTTTAATGATGGTACAATTACTAGGGCATCTGGTTCCCTTGTAAACCTTTCTCCAGGAGGGAAAAATGAATTTCCCAGGTAAGAACCGTCAGCCTTAGACTTAGCCAGGGCCAACTCTGGCTGTGCCTTGGTGGTGCTGCTTTGAGATCTGGGGATGGGGAACACAGTGGAATGGATAGGAGGGTCTCCGCTTACAGGGCTTCGGCCAAAGGAAGGGCCGCACCCGTAACGCCCCTGAGAAGCAGCTCCGAGGGGCCCAGCCACAAGGACGGGCTGCCCAGTGGATGGGCTTTGCTGTTTACCACTCAGCACTCAGCCTGGCCACACAGGGGACCTGGCCTGCAGCTGATGGCCACTCTTGGTCCCCCCAAACCAGGCCAAGTACTCAGCGTGGAATGGCAATTCCACGACACTGTGCAACATCAATGTTAAATCATCTCAAAGAAAAAACAATTTTCATAGAAACAGGCATGCACATTCTCTTGTCCACTTCTTAAAACATCAAATTTAGAAAAGATTCCCAAAGCACCCTGCAAATCACGCCAACCCCACAGACACGGCACAGCGGTAGGCACCCGTGCCAGCCCCGCAGCCGCGTGGGGTCCCACATACACGGGGGCCTGTTTCCTTGGGTGGAGACGGGAGGTGCCCTTGGCCTTCCTGAGGCTCTCGCTGCTTTGTGTGACAGACGAGAGGCATCTCTTGCTGCACCCAGTGTCACCACGGTGAGGCCACGGCACAGGACCCAGCCAGCCTTTGCCACTGTCCTCACACCGCCCAGTCACACTCCGCTGTGCCTACTAAGGGCATCTCTTCGGCCACAGGCGGAACAGTGACGTGCCCGCTTCACAGGTCTCCCATTTCCCTCAGGGAGCACAATACACTGAAAAAGTTGCACTCCTAGCCAATTTTCGGACTGATGCATCTTTAAGCCCCACGTGTGCACAAGGGGTTTCAGTTCCTCTTGATCTACAATTGAATTGTTCTCTTCGTGGAGAAATTATGTGGCAAGTGTTACATTAATTTTTGCAATCTGTAAAACTGTTTCCTGCTGTGTCACCTAAGTCTCAGATAACTAACTGCCTCGAAGACAGATGTAAACATTAAAAATTAAAGAGCCCTTAATTTGAAAGACATTAAGGTGAAGAACGACTGTTCTTCAACTCCTCTCTGGAAGGCCGGTGCTCTGTGAGGCAGGGAAGCAGCAGTGCAGGAAGGACAGCTCTGGTCTTGGTGTCCTCCCCAGGGAAAGGAGAGGCGCCAGGGCTCACCTCCATGGTCACTTTCAGGCCAGACTATGTGGGACTCAAAGTTGGAAGTTGCACTTCTGTCACAAGAGTGGCATGGGCCGCTGGGAACTTGGGGGCATACCTTGCCAGTCTTGCCGGCTGTCATACTGTTCTGCATTTTCATGGCTTCAATCACACAAATTTCCTGACCTTCTGCTACCTGAAAAATGAATTAAAAATGGACTGAAATTTTAAAGTCATTCTAATTTTCCAGTAACACCCAAGAATGAAACCATTAAGGAATTGTCAAAAGTGCTAAAACATTCACTGAAACAGCAGCAACAACCTCGGGCCTTCTCACTCCAAGTTCACCTTTAAGAGGCAGGGCAAGGCCATTTCCTCCATCACTGAGTCCTCACTAGAAAAAACCTGATACTGGAGCCAGGAGGTGGACGGGAGCGCCACCTGGAGCGATTCCCAGAGGCACCTCTGAATTACAACAGGTTTTGCAAGACTGGAATGTTTTGCACTTACCTGGAATGTCCAGAATAGCAAATCTCTACTGACAGAAACACTGATAGCTGTCCGGGACTGGGGATAACAGGGTTTCTTCTCAGGTGGTAAAATTGTTCTAAATTGTGACTGCCAGGCATGGTGGCACACACCTGTAATCCTAGCACTTGGGAGGCTGAGGCAGGAGGATCACTGCCAGTTCAGTTCAAGGTCAGCCTGAACTACATAGTGAGAGCCTATATCAGAAAAAAAAAAAAAGATCATGATGGTCACTGCACAAGTCTCTAGACAAAACCACTGGATCGTACATTTCAGAGCGCTGAATTACGTCTCAGTAAAGCTGTCATCACAGTCATGTCTGACTATTGTCCTAGGGAGCGGGGAACAGCTT